GGGGGGGGGAGGAGAGTGCACAGGGCTGGGAGGCACCTCCTGGGTCACTGAGTCCGGCCCCAGCTATCACAGGCCACCCCATCACATCAGCCCGTTCAGAAACCGTTCAGCTCCCTCTCCACCAAATGGATCTGCTGTGTGCATGTCTCTGCTAGGCGTGTTCTCAAGGGATCTGTTGTGCGGAGTGCCCCTCTCCCCACTCCGGCTGCCCTGCCTGCGTGGGGTACAGCCACCAGCTCTGTGCCTGTTCTTCACACTCCCCTCCTGGGGCCAGGCCTCGAGTCACGGCCTTTCACTCATCAGTATCTCTCAGCGGAGCAGACCCATTTCTAGAGTTTGTTTCATTCCTTGGTGCAACGCCCCATCCTGCTCCTGGAGCGGTCTGCCCCCAAAGTCTCTCCCCAAACTCAGCCTGTCCCTGCGCCAGGTCAGCTGGGATTTCTGCCCTGGCTACAGCAGTCCCTTTGGCTCAGTGACCGCCCCAGTGGAGGCCTGTGCCTGCCAGACCAGGGCTCCTCAGGCCCTGTGGCATTCCCAGCTCCTAGGCTGTTACCCCCAAACCTGGCCTGCTCTCTGCTGGCCGCCTGGCTCCCTTTGCTGATGGTGGAGCCCATCCCTTCTGCACGGACTCTGCCTTCCCCAGAACCCCATCAACACAACCCCTCCTCCTCCACCACCTTCGGTACCCTGCACTGGGTCCCTGGGGTTCCCCGCAGGGCTGGCCCTGCCCCTGGTGCATGGCAGGGGACAGCCACGGGCCTTGGCATAGAGCCTGTTCCTAGCCCTGGAGCTGCAGCTCCCAGGAACTCACCCCACCCCCTGGGCTTCCCCCAGCGCCCTCTAGGAGCCTCTGGAGCGTCCCCCACGCTGCGGGAGGGACCATCGGCCTCCCCTACATCCAGCTCCCCCATCTACAGGGCCCGGGGTAGCCAGGCTAGACTCTACACGCTGCCCCAGGACTCTGGGGGCCCCATGCTGCTTGCCCTGCAGGCCCCGGGCCCCAGGCAGGCAGTGAGCTGTTCTGGGCCCTAGGCCGGCAGCCCGCCGCTGTCTGCTCTTCCAGCTGCACTGGCCACTCCAGGGTGTGTGTTCAGAGACAGGGGCTAGGCAGAGACAGGCTTGACCTTTCAGTCAGCGGGGGAGTGCTGGGGTGGGGGTCCCATGTCTCACCTGGTTGATGTGCACAGAGGGAATAGAGGCAGCGGAGACAGACGAGTGGCTGGGTGAATTGGGCAGGGACTTGCAGGGCCCTATGGAGAGCTGCTGCTTCTTCCGCAGGGCCACCACCTTCTGAGCCACTGAAAGAGAGAAGAGAGGGGCTAGGGTCAGACGGCTTTCCGCACCCAACTGCATCTCCAGAGCCGTTCAGAGAGACCCCCTGCCTCTGCCTGCAGCCAGTACCTGGGGCTTCAAACTGCCCCTCGCTGTGGCACCGGGGACTCCAGCGGCACATCTAGCCCGCGGCTGCCTCAGGAGAGCGCCGTACCACTGCAGTTTGCCCTGCCCTCGGGGACGTGTCCCACAGTTCCTGGCACTGCTCCATAAAGCAGTGGCTTCAGGGGAGTTGTGAAAGATCTTCTAGGAGCCCAGGTGAACTGCAGGAGAAAAGGTCAAATGCCCATAATTCCTTGGGACACACCCATCAGTCTCTGGCACTGGCTCCGTATCCAAGCCCTGTCTCAGAACGGGGCCAGGCTGAACCATCGGCTGCTGCAGCTTTGGAAAGCAGTTGCAAGGCACCTGGGGCAGCGGAGGGGCTCCCGCAGAAGCGGAGGAGGGTGCAGCAGTTCACACAGCCAGCTCCTGAACTGGGCATGCCCTGAACACACCAGCTAGCCCTGGCCTTCATCCCAGCTGCTCCTGTGATCCGCCTCAAATGCTCCAGGTGCCCCCATCCCAACCGCCCCATCCCTGTCCTCCAACCTGGGCACTCGGCACCTCCATCCTCCAAACTGGGAACCCCCCAGTCTAGACACTCCTCTACCCATGTTTAAACAAAGATAAACACCCCCTCTCCTGTGACCCACCCGGTAAGCACAGGCTCAGAGCCCAGGCCTTCAGTCTCCTGCTGGAGCCCTGCCCACCCTGGGGACAGCAGACAGCTCTACGGAATGCCTGACGCACATGGGAACGGGGGGAGCAGGCGCCCCGGTGAGGGGCCGTGCAGAGAACGCCCTGCCAGAAGCGCTCCTCTCTCCTACGTGTGGGGCTCCAGCCAGTGCCCCACTGATCACAACGGCATCAGTACGGCATTGGGAGAGGTGCCCCTCAGACAGGCAGGAATTATTAGCGATTGTAGCTACAGGCACCGCGAGGGACTTTGGGTGGTGAGTTTGCACTTTGGCTGGACGGCCGTTTCCCTCCTGGTTGGTTTGGGTTTGTATTGGTTGGGGCGAGGGAGCACAGTCCGACGGATGTGCTGCCTACGCGGAGACCTTCGGCAGAAATTCCTTCACTGAACGAGCATAAACACGCAGGACAGCTGTGAGATCCCACGCAGGGTACACACAGCCCTGAACCGAGGGCAGCAGGGCCATGACGTGTGTGTCTCGGGCAGTCTCGTTTTCTCTGCCACCATCACATGCAGGAAAGATGCCTGGCAGGTGAAGGCGCTGCTCTGAATAACCAGGTGGTGCAGAAAACAGCTGCTGTGTCTGCCGTCCTCTCTCTGGAACCACGGCGCCCAGAGCCTCATTGCAGCGACGCCAACATATGTGTGATGAGACCAGATGTCCCTTAGTCCCAGGCAGACTCCCACTGATCTCTGAGGATCCTGCCTCAGGAGAAGGGTAACTGGCAAACATCCCTAAACTTGTTGCAGCCTCCGGGGATGAAAGCACAAGGGATGCATCTCCACTCAGCACCCGGCTAGTGGCATTAGCCTGCAGTGTCTTGTCTAGGGTGACAGGGCCTGAGGGCTCACCCTGCCAGGGAGAAGGGGGCAGCAGTGGCCTGCCTCTGCCAGGTCTCCAGGCTAGAACTATAGGGTGTGTCTACACTGCAGCTGGGGCAGACTCACGGCGCCCAGAGCTCATTTGCCTATTCTGCCATCAGCTCTTGTCCCGGCTCTCTCCTGCTCAAGACGGAGTGTCGACCCCGAATCCCTCCGAGGAACAGATTCTCTCCTGGCCCTGCTGTGTGTACTTGCTCTGACACTCGGATCCCGCAGGCCTGACCCACCCCTGCTCTGGGAGTTGCGGGGGGTTGTACGGGTCACTACGAGGAATGAGAAGTGACAGGGATAATCGCCATAGCGACGGCACTTCCACCCTTGGACCAAGGAACGCCAAGCCCAGCACCGCCCCTGCATCCTACAGCTGCAAGTCACAAACTCCGCAGCCAGTTACCCTTCTCCTGAGGCAGGATCCTCAGAGATCAGTGGGAGTCTGCCTGGGACTAAGGGACATCTGGTCTCATCACACATATGTTGGCGTCGCTGCAATGAGTACCATCTGATCTGTGGCCATAAAGACATACTTGGAAACTTTCTGAGTGAAAGTGTGGACGCTCTCAGTGCTCCTTCCAAGCATATGGACCGGTACAGAGGGTGTGGGCTCCCACATACCATATCCTGCCGAGTCCATGGGGAGAATGCATATAGGATTAAGTAATTCATCGAGACATCTGGGAAATTAGACCACCTGGTATGCCCAATCGATTTTTAGTCAGTGCTCCTAAAATTACACCTAATATTTAGATGGGGTTAGGTAGCCTATGGACATTTTGGCCATTAGAACCCCCACAGCTTCAGTGTATCCGTAAACTGAAGCCAGGAGAAGTTGTCACTGTCTATGACTACGTTTGCTGGGAGGGTAGGGGACAAAGAACTACCCTGACAAGACACTTACTTTTTCAAGCTAACGATAGCTGTGTGTATGTTAATGACACCATATCGCAAGACATACATTTTAATCTCACTACCACTGCAGGCAATCATATCATTTACTGGCCTGCAAACAGAGTTTTTCAAGTAGCCCTTAAGTTCCAAATACCCTTTAATTAGACTAGTTTAGTATCTAATAAATTTCAAAATTTGTTTTCATTGTTACCTGAAATTCAAAAAATCTCTAAAGTACAAAGACAAATTCACATGCTTCAAAATATATATCAAGTTAAAAAGTACGCCTTTCATACTGCTTATAGAGTATCTACCTTATGTACTAAGTATAATGTACTGTGCTTTATGACAAAGGCTGTACAACAACCCCATTATAGTATTGCTATAAAAATGTTATTGCTTGTATTGTTATTAGTTAGCTTAGAATTATGTTATTGTTGTTGTAAAAAACGTAATAATAGTAATACCTTTCATGTTCATGCTAATCATGCATTGTCATTACATCTAATTAGAACCCTTAAAATTAAAGCATCTAATGTAAAATCTAAAGTCCAAGACTTAATGCAAATAAAAATTTAAAAATGTTTGTTGTACTAGTAGTACAAAAAGGGGGGTTGTGGAAGCAGAGAAAAGAACTGACAGAAGGGAACTGCAATGCATGACAGTTCGTTAGCAAGAGTCAGGCTGACTGTAACCCTGATAACCCTGGTAACGCGAGATTTATAGAAGCGAGGAATGTGTGAGGCGGGTGAGAAAGAACTGTGTAAGAAGTCATTATGACCTGGTATAGATAAGGTGTAGGAGACCTTGTGTAGATAAGGTATAGAAAATATTGTATGTTGGCAAAAGTCAAAACAATTTAGAAATAAGATATCAAGAAGACAAAATGCAGCTGTCTGTCCCTCATTATTTCTGTAATGAAAGGTATAAATGTTTGCTGTAATTAGTTACCTGAGAGAGATCTGCTTAGCTCTCTCCTCTGCACAATTGTGAGAGTTAATAAAGCATCTGACTTGCTGTACCTAAACAAAAAAGTGAAAACTCAGTTTTTCTCCGACAGTCCCATGATGCAGCAGGCTCTCTGGAGGTATTAGCCAGGGCTTCAGGAATCCTGCAAGAGCAGGGAGACTCAAATCAGCCGGACTCTCCACTGGGGGTTCCTGGGGAGAAGACAAGGAGTGGCCCAGAGACTTCAGCTCTAGCCAACAGTCCCAAAGAGATTAGACAGGCAGGGGACAGGCAAACATTATCTGCTGCCCACAGAGAACCTTTTCCCTCCCCAGAGCAGAGGGCTTTCTGCATGCCGTCTGCTCGCCCGCTGGGCTCAGCAGGTCTGAAATGCTGCCCTGAGATTCAGGCCAGGAGGCGGCGCGATTCCCAAGCAGGAGGCAGGATCAGCCCATCTCCTTGAGACAGCAGGGCTCGGGGTACCAGTAGGAAAAATGACGGCTCCCATAAGAGATTTGGGAGGCCTAGCCCAGGCTGCAGCAACCAGCATGACTCGAGCTCTGGCAGTGGGGAGATGCTCCAGCCTAGCACGGCCATGGGATGGAGTCTCTGGGGCAGAGCGTAGGACACTTCACACCGATGCTTGCTGGAGAGGGGTCCGCCACTTCTTTAACAGCAGATGCACCGGGGCCTGTTTCAAGCAGGATTCCTGTCCCTGTCATAGATACTGCATCTGGGCTCCTCACAATCTTTAGTGTATTTATCGTCACAGTGCCCCTGTGAGGGGGGGCAGGGCTGTTACCCCATTTTGCAGTTGGAAACTGAGGCAGAGAGAGAGAGACCAAGGGCTTGTCTACATGGGACATCACTGTGTGGCCAGCTAGGGCGTGCAGATTCACACTCTGGTTTGTTGCACAGTAATGTCCCGTGCAGACAAGCCCCACGGGACACAGCCAGGATCACAAAGGATGTTTGCTGTGGAGCAGGAACTGAACCCAGGTCTCCAACCACCAGACACAGCCTTCCTCCCCGTGCCCACGGCCATCTCCAGTGCTCTCTTTGCCGGCTGGATGACGAGCCAAGCACCAGTCCCACAGAGCCATTCCCACCAGGTCTGGGAATATGCACTGGTTTGGTGATGGAATAGGAAGTGTTCACGTGTGATTGGGCAACACAACATCACATCTCCTGAGCAGCAGCACAGACGATTTTCCAGCCCATCTCCCAGCTCTCGGTTCCAGACACTGCTGCAGAACACGGTCCCCAAACATCTCACTCCCACGAGCTGTCCATTCTGGGGAACCAGCCACAGCCTCGGTGATCATCCCACGGAGGGGCTCGGAGAACTCAGCTGCACTCCCTTCAGCCCAGCGCCCAGGAGCTCCCACCAAGAGGTGGGCCAGGGAGCACTGCTTCGTCATCTGCACTGAGTGTGAATCCTGCAGCCAGCCAGGGCCGTGGCAGCCTCATTTGCAGCGACGCCAACATATGTGTGATGAGACCAGATGTCCC